GTCACCAACATATCTGCATTATAGAAAATGTTAAAGGAATTTTTTTAGGCACAAGTGAAATGATACCTCATGGAAACTTTGATCTATACAAAGGAATGAAGGGTGCTAGTAATCATAGATATGTGGGAAAATGTAGAAAACTTTTGTTTTCTATTTTTAAATTTCTTTTAAAAGATTAATAGTTAAAACAAGAGTAGTAACAAGATGTTGTGGGTTTATATTATCTATGAAAGTCAAATGTACAGTGAAATAGCACAGAGGATATGAAAATAGAAGTGTATTGTAAAGTTCTTCAATTATATACCATTTTAAGATACACTGAGACAAACTGATAATACATATTTCATAAAAACTAACAGACATATGAAAAGATGTTTGTAGTGAAGGATATACAGTTTATAATAATGAGACCATTTCTCATCTATTAGATTGATAAAGATTACAGAAGATAGATAGCATTCACTATTAGTGATAATGTGTGCTAGTAGGAGGTGAATTGCTACAGTTTGAATAAAAATCTAGCATTATCCATTAAAGTGAAAAAGCTCATGCTCTTTGACTCAACAAACCATATGTGAGATTCTATTACAAATAGACTTCTATTACAAACAGAATCTATCTATTCTATTACAAATAAAATTTCCATATATCTGTATATGTATATGTATAAAAATATTTTTATTTTGGTGAATATATTATATTTTGTTTGGGGGGAAAAGTAAAAAACAAACAAACCCTGAAGACCTATAAATAAGAGAATAGTAACTAAATCTTAGTACATACATAATATGGAAAATTGTAGCTATTAAAAACATAATTAGATCAATTATGTATGTTATGGAATGAAGTTTATGCCAAGTGGAAAAGAAAAATAAAACAAAGATAGATGAATAATAGTATGGCTCAGTTTTTGTTTCAATGTAGGGAGAAAAAGCATGTTGTGTTTTTATACACCAATAAAGGCATGAAGGAAAATGTGGAAAGATTCTCACAAAACTATTACTTTTGGAGAAGAGATTGGGGGGGGAGCAAATTATTAAAATTTGGCGTTACTGTGTAGCATTTGACTTGCAGAAAAGGACACTTAATCGAGATTCTTCCTGTCTCAGTTTTAGTAGAGATCCTATCAAAATAAAAAACCCTAGCACATGGCCCAGCAGATCAGATCAGTGACTTCTGACATCTGATCATGTTTCTCCTTTCCAAAGGGGAGCCTTCTCTGGTCCTGTTCTACCATTTTACATTATGGGAGGAGTGTGGGGGATAGATAACATGTGTTTTTGGGATTACAAGCAGGAGTCATATCCCAGTAGGTAGCCACTGGTGCTCACTACCCAGAGAGCTTGGCTCTGAGTTGAATGCAGTGAGAGGACAGGAGTTTTGCTATCTCACTTGGGAAATTAGAGACTATCTTCTATATATGGGAAGCACAGAGCAAAGGCATATTTGGAGCCTCAAATAATGAAATGCAGAATAGAATGTTAATGCGCACTAAGCATCCACGTTCTAGAGTATTCTTTGTTAGGCTTTCATCAAGGAGCTCTATAACTAGCCAACTAACTAATGGGAAATGTTTGGTTTTATGTAGAAATATTTTTAAGAAATTTGTTCTTTATGTGAAACACTCTCTTTTCTATAAAACACTTTCTCTTGGGTCACTGAAGTCCTGACTCTGATGAAGGATTACAAGCCATTATATTACGGAAACTGTTAATCCTCTACCTCATGTGTTTCTTAGATTTAGCTATTGAGAATAGCAGAGCCAGATTGTGAAACAAATTTATAGTGTGTGGGACCCTGTGGTCGTCAGTGTTTTAAATTTGCCTCATGTCTCACTTTACTCTTTAACCTTTATTTTAATTTAATAAGGCCTATGGCAACCTCGAAACCTCTTGAATATACATCGCTCTTATCCAAGACATGGCATTTTCCATGTGCTTTGTTCATCTGTAAACAAGATCTGTCCTTGATAAATGTCAGTTATAGAAAAATAACAACTCTGTATTTTAAGAATCTTTGGGGATTAGTAATAATCTAAGAATCTGACAATATAGTATTTTATATAAGTCTTTCAACATATGACACTACAAGTATGTTTAGGAGCTATACTGGTATCTTATAAGTGTAACACTTTGGATAGATGAATAATTAAGTGAAAACTTTTAGAAATGAAACTTTTGCAAAGTGAAGCAGCAAGGATGAATAATTAATCTTGGATTCTGACTCCTTATTAAAGCAAAAGATTAAAAAATATGTCAAGACTTTCTTACCAAGTTTAACTGGTGCCAGCATTTGTCCAATGCACTAAATCCCTCTGTTGGCAACCATCTCTTATTACTTATTCTGACAAATGACACACCATTGTCATAGCACCTTGTGAGTTAAGTATTTTTGGGGCTTTTGGTAACAACAATGAAATAAAACAGACATGTAAAGGAATGGAAAAGTACCAGAAATGGAAACTGAACTAGTATTTCCTAGAAAAGTCTTTGTCACTGACACTGTGGTTATTCACTTAATTGAGGTTTTGATTGCAAGTACATTCATCTAGCTACAGCTTTACAGAGGCCATTTCACACCCATAGACTTAATAATCATACTAGGTTGATATTTTGATTTGTATGTTAGGCTCTTGATTCATTAGGTATTCTCCACTATTTAGAGCTTATTCTCAGAAACACAGAAGCAATTTTTTTTTCTAACTACACAGGCAGCTGCTGACAATAGACATGCTTCTACTAGGGAAACTCCCAGATATTAAAAGAAAGAGGAGGAGGAAAGGAAGAGAAAGGAAGAAAGAAAATATAAAGGCCTCTATAGTCTATCAAATAAAGAACCATTTTTAAAATATGGGATGGTTAGATTCCCTATGGAAGGGTCACTGGCTTGCTAAGGAAAACTACATATAATTTTCCAACTACTTTTCTTTTAACTTGAAAGTTTTGAAGATTCAACATCACCTATAAATTTGGTTGACCAAAGAGAGTTAGATCTCTCTAGAACAAGTCAGTTTGGTTCAATAAATATTTGTTGAGTACCTGCCATGTGCCACTCATTGTGCCAGGTGCTGGAGATAAAAGAACAAGTAAAACAGCTGTGGTCCGCACTCATGGAACTTACAATACAGGGAGGGAGCATGAAGGATGAGAGAACTGCTGTTATCAAAACTATTAGCACAAATCTTCCCTCAAAATTTAACCCTAACTGAATGATATACTGATGGACTCAGATGATAACTTCTCTAATAATATTTATATAAGAACGGTCGTCTTGTTTATCTTCATCTAAGGAAGAGAATAACTAGGGCCATCATTGTTACCTGCATTTATTATATTCTTATAATTGTTTTTTGTTTGTTTAATAATCAGATTCAAGTCCTTTCTCCAGTACCTTCATCTATTCTCTTAAAGAAAACAGCTCAGGGTGCATTTGGAACACTATCCTGTATCTGACTTAGGAACACTATTCCTGTAACATGCTGGTATTGAAATGTTATAGATTGTGCACTCCTTAAGGGAAAAAGGGATTTGAGAATACATTGCCAATATATGTTTAGCTGTTTTTATGCTTCTTTATAAAATGTATATGTACATAAATAAATATGTGTTGCAAATATATATTTACTATATATAGTAAGATGTACACAAAAATATAAACTTTAAAATGAGATAAAGAATACATTTTGGAATAATTTATTAACTAAATAAAAGCCTTTATTTTTTACTAAAAAATATTGAAAAAGTAAGCCAATTCATGAATTGTACAAGCTTACTATTAACATTTGGCTGCCATAATTTTATTATTTCTGATATTGATTAGTGGTCCTTCCAGAAACTGCCACATTTTCCTATTTTTTAACAAATGGGTTTAACATTTGCTGAACTATTCTACTGAAACATTGAAATAAGATAGCAAATAGTTTCCAAGGTTTTTAAGCATTTATTTTTGTAGGTGACAAACATATAATTTTACCAACCCACCCCACCCACACCCAATAATGGTAACATTTTGAAATATTTGTTTTCAAATGTTCTCTTCATAGCACTTTGTCACTCAGTCTTAAAATGTTTTCTTTACCTTGAAGTGACAGTGATTTTTTTTCAGAAAAAATCTTTTCAGTAACATACTGAGAGATGCACAACATTACAGAAAAGTTCAGCAAATTTACAATATTTGCCTTTTTTGGTGAAAAAGATAAAAAATAACTCACTTTTAACAAAGATAACTCTTTGTTGCAAATGACTTTCACAATCATCACCATCTCACTGCACAGTAATGTTAAGCTTCTGTAATTTAAAAATCTTATTTTTATCAAATTATTTATGGAGACAAATTGCCAAAGTATGTAAACTACAATACGTCACATTCTCATAAAAGCAATCTAGCGTATGTTGCTGATTCTAAGACGCACGTTTTAAAATATTTAACATAACCAAAAATTTAAAGTCTTACTGCCTATTGCCCAAACAGTATGTAGATGTGGTTGGCTCTGTGCATGCTCAACAAACTTGGGTTGGTTTTAGCTGGCTGGAAAAATATCCCAGAGACAATATTGCGACACTCTTAAGAAATGCTGCCTATTAGGAGTCCCCGGATGGCTCAGTGGTGGAGCGCCTGCATTCGGCCCAGGGCACGATCCTGGGGTCCTGGAATCGAGTCCCGCCTCGGGCTCCCCGCAAGGAACCTGCTTCTCCCTCTTCCTGTGTCTCTGCCTCTCTCTCTGTGTCTCTCATGAATAAATAAATTAAATCTTAAAAAAAAGAAAAGAAATGCTGGCTATTAAAACTCTTAATGTCACTGAGGATACTGGGTGAAACAAAAAAGTGATCGGGAGTGTTGGACTCGTTGTGAATGTATCTGAAGAATATTTTAACCAATTTATTCTATTTCCTTTTGTGAATGAATAAGTGTTAGATAAAAAGCGTGTTTCTAAATAAACTAAAAGGTACTTTCAATAAATGGCATTTTCATCTTAAGTATATGAAGTGATAAGAATGCACCTGTCGGGATGCCCGGGTGGCTCAGCCGTTGAGCATCTCCCTTCGGCTCGGGGCGTGATCCTGGGGTTCCGGAATCGAGTCCCACGTCGGGCTCCCTGCATGGAGCCTGCTTCTCCCTCTGCCTGCGTCTCTGCCTCTCTCTCTGTGTGTGTGTGTGTCTCTCATGAATAAATAAATAAAATCTTAAGAAAAAAAAAGAATGCTCATGTCAAAGTTTATGTGACTGCTCTTATTTCTTACTGGTACATAGAAAACGGTACGTCGTATAGTTAATGAATTCCTAGATTCAACGAAATAGTGTCCTAAGTTAAGGCACTGCTGTCAGCCCCCTCTGCATTTGGTGCAGTTTTCCCCCTTCCCTCAGAACTCCACTCACAAAGCCTCTTGAACGTGGGACCGCTTAGGGTCGGTGTCACGTCATCTATTAAACGTCCATTTCTCGGAGCCGACCCTAACCCTAACCCTAACCCTAACCCTAAAGAGGCGCTAGTGTCTTGGCCCGGCCGGCGGGAGCGCGTGGTGAGCGCCGGCACCGCGGAGCGCGCAGCGGGAGAACGTGCGAGCGAGGTTCTCGCCCTAACACACTGCGCCTCCGCGGTGGCCGTGCACGCCGAGGCCCGGGACGGGTCGCGCTGGTCGTACCCGCGCCAGTCCAGTCGCTCCTCGCCCGGGGCTGCCCCCGCCCCCCCCCCCCCCCGGCCGCCCTGCGTGCAGGGCGAAGGCAGGTGCGGAGCCGTAACTTACCTCGCTGGAGGAGCCGCTGGAAGCCCCCGGGGGCGCACGGGCGCCCGCAGCTTGGAGCGCGGCCAGGGACCCGCGGGCGCGGGCCGCCGGAGCGCGCAGCCGGGGGTCGCCGCCGCGTCCCCTCGCCCTGACCCCGCCTCGGGGTCGCCCGCAGCGCCGCGGACTCGGCGGCCGGAGGGCGCGCGCTGGCAGCGGGAAGTCGGCGGCCCGGGGGCGAGCGCGACACGTGCCCGGGAGCGCGGGGCCCGGGGGTGCGCGCCTGCCCCAGCCGCCGCCCGCGGACCCGCGACGCGCAGTGAGTGACCGGTGGCTCGAGGGGGGCGGGGGCACCGGTGACCCCGGGACATGGCCCTGGCTGGGGGTCTACACGCCCGGGCTTGTGTGCTTCTCCCCCGGAGGCTGGGGGCTGGAGGGGGGTGCGGTTGCTCTTCTTACCGAGGTCCTCGCTCTCTGGGCGCTCATGTGCTCTTGCGGGTGCCAGGTTGGAGTTTGGCCGATTGAAGGGGGAGAGAGACTCAGACTGAGCCTCCCGGGCGCTCCCTGGGGCAGGACGCAGGATGGAGGGTGCGTGGGGCAGGGAGGGCTGGCTCTGGGGAAGGGCTGAGGGCATCACTCGGGGGCCAGTGCTGGTCCGGGCCCTCAGGCGTGACTCAGGATAGAAAACAGGCCTTCTCTGACGAGGATTTCCAGAAGTCTTAGTCTCGCCTGGGGAGTGTACTGTTCATTATCAGCAGCACTTTCCTGTGTCCTCTGTAGACAAACCCAGAGTCCCTACCTGGCCAGTTAGTTATGCTAGTGGAATGTTCTGGGGCAGGCCGACTGGCTAGCCGCTGGCCAGATTCCATTTTTCGCGGATGAGATGGCTTTAGGAAGGCGCTTCCCACTTGGTTAAAGGGCAGTACATATAAGCACCGTAAGAGATTAAGTATCTGCATGAGTAGATGGACGTCTTAAACATAGTGACCTAGAAGAATGCAAAAAGACTTTCCCCAGGTATGTCTGGAGAACAGGACAAAATTAATCTTAATCCCTTCACTCTGGATAATTGTTATAGTCCCTCACAGTGTATATCCTGTGTGTATAAAAGCCTTTGTTGAGCCTCCACTCTATACCTGGACTTTGGGTATATATTCTTATGAGATATAAATCTTTGAAAAGCTGATGAAGTTGTTATTAGTATTCTCGTTTTACAGATATGGAAATTTTCACACTTTTACAGAGCTGGTAAGTTACAGATTTCTGGCTCCAACTTCTGTGGTTTCTTATCTTTGCTCATAACATTCCACTTGGACAAACATTATATTCTCATTTCCCATTAATTAGAAATGGTACAGTGCGCTATTTCTCTGTCCAACGTATAACCAAAGGGGCCTTAGTGGCAAAGAGCTGACACTCTCCTCTGCCATGGTAATGTAAAATCCTCAGCCATTACCAGCATTATGTTAGTCAGGAAAGGCTCTGCAACATTCTTTTTTGATATGTCTTGTTTCTTGAATGTCATGATGATTATGTGGGATGGTCAATTCCCAAATTTTGGTAAGCTCTGAATCCTGTGTTAGAATGAGTTCTAGGGTGAAAAAAAACTCTAAAGCATATGTAGGATTTATATGGAAGAAGGATCCTCTTAGTAGATGTTGTACATCATTTCTCAAATGTGGAATTATTTATGTATTACTAAACCTGCTTTGTTCTCTGCCAAGTTATCTATCATCTTTGTAGATACACTAACAGCATTCCTCTTAACTTCTACGTGTAAATTTGTGCAGACCAACGTAAAAAGAAAGCCAAATCCCAAAGAAAGCTTGTCCAGTGCCCTTTGCTCTTGGAATCTTGTGGTGGTCTTTGTTAATGGTAACAATGATTTTTTTAAAATACAAATACGTATTGAATAGCTATGTGTCCAAGACATTGTGCTGGTCACTGTAGTGAATATATATTAAAAAAAAAGTAAGACACAGTTCTTGTCCTCAAGAAGTTAAAACTGTTTGGGAAGATAATAATTATGAGAACACTTAGTATGTCAAGAATAATAGTTGGCATAAAGTCACCTGTTATAAAGGAGGTATGGGATCTAGTTTTTTTAAAATCTAGTTTTAATTAAATTAATCTTTTAGTGATGAGCCAGAAAAATAGGCAAAGAGAAATAAAAAAGCAGGACTATCCTTGAAAAGTAAGTGATATTATCCTTTTCCTTATAATAATAATAGCTGATAGTATTTATTGAGTTCTTGCTATATATCAGGCCTCTGATAAGAGCTTCTTATTACCCCCATAAGAATTCCGTGAGGGAGGTGCTATTTTTATTCTCATTTTACAGATGAGGAAACTCAAGTATGAAAAGTGGTTCTAATTTACCTAATTCTGAATTTACTTCTGGCTTTTCTGTATTATCTTGGTCAGCTTGCAGATTTTCATATGTATAGAATTGAGATACCAATAGTTACTTTATGTAGCAGATGACCAAATATTAAGAACTCAACTATATGCTCTGTGTTGTGATAAATTGCTAAGTAAATGCCTATAAAGATGATTAAGATTAGAATCTTAATTTACATCTCTTTTACAGTGCTATGCAGAGGAAGAGATAAACATTGAGTAAAACATCAGGCACATATATTGAGCCATGGGGTTGTTTGTGTAGAGACTTCAAATGAATTCTTCATTTATATAAGAAATCTTGAGGAAAATTGTGGGATAATGATACCTAGTCTTAGTTCACCACCCCCCATTATCTTTAGTTGTGAAATTCCTTAAAAAATCCCCAAAGTAATTATATTATTCTTTAATATTTGTCATGCCTCATAGCACTTTATGAAACAACTAGGTGATTGATATTGCAAGGTGAAGCAAAACTTGCCAGGATTTCACGATACCCAAGATCCAAAGATAAACTCCCCTCTCATGCCACTGTCCACAGATAGACTTTAAGATTGAGGATATTCAAAGAGAGATCCTTCCAATAAACTAAGGAAGAAAATTTTAGTGAAAGAGATATAATTTTCTCAGTAAATATCAATTACCATTCTTCAAACAAGGAAAAAGGCTTTGAAATGTGAAGTTACTTGCGACGGTGACACAGATAGAAGTGGAGGAAACAGGATGGCACACAGGCCCTCAGGCCCTAGGCACCATGCTCTTTCCAGTATATTATCCTTCCCAAAAGTAAATGGCTTATGTTATTTATAGCTCTATAAGAATTCAGAAAATGAAAATAGAGAAGGTTTGATTGTTAAAACTTAATTGAACAAGTGCTATGAAAATTGTCGACTTGTAGAGCTAATCCAAGAAAGAAAAAAGGAAACATAACACCACCACTTGATTTGAAAGTACCTTGTTTCTTCGAGACTCCATCCATGTCCTGTTTCTCCTTTACTTCTTTTTTTGTAGTTCTCTTGTGGGAATGCTTGTTCAGTTTATAAGATAATTCATACTACAACTGATTCAAGGGTTAGGATGGGATAAGATTCCCTAATGCATTTCGAATGTAATTTGTTTACATGCAACTTTTCAAAACCTGTCTATTACATCCAGTGTGATATACCTGAAATGGAAATAAAAGCAAATAGAATTGACAAAAGGACATTTCAGAAAAATATAAAAGAAAGGAGAAAAGTGTAAGGGAACTTTTAAGAAAAGTGATGAAATGGGGTGCCTGGGTTGCTCAGTTGGTTGAGCGTCCAACTCTTGATCTTGGTTCAGGTCTTGATCTTGGGGTTGAGAGTTCAAGTCCCACATTGGGCTCCACACTGGGCATGGAGCCTGCTTAAGAAAAAAGAAAGAAAAAGAAAATGATAAAGAGGTCATAAAGAGGGAAAGAAGACCCTCCAATAGAATTTTTTTTAAGTACCAAAACATGACTTCAAGCAAGAAAATAATATTCCTATGTATGTTAACACATATAATTTAGGACTACAAATACTTACCAGTGAGATGAGAAAAAAATCAAGAAAGGTTCAGCAGGTGTGTAAGAAAGGAAAACAGGTGTCTGTCCTGTCCATTTTGGCTCACATAAAGGGAGTTGGGACTATTGCATAGAAAGAAGAAAGAGCAGAAAGGGTTGAGATGATGTTACTTTCCTTGCCTGTCACATCACCTAACATGACATCACGGAGAGGCTGATTTGATAATCAGGGCCTACCAGGCCAGGATTTGTCCATGTTATGGCTTGTGAGATTTTTCACCAAATGATAGACTCAGAAGGAAAAAGGAAATAATGCTTCAGTCAGGATACTGTTCTTTTTTTATGACTTAGCTCATAAAAAGTTATGGAGAAGAAGGTTGGCTCCAATGGCTAAGTTGCAAATTAATTACTTGGTGGATTTGATTATCCTTTTCTATCCTCATAGTAGAATAGATCATTAGAGGTGGTTATATGTTGTATATATACGGTTTTTGTGTTTGTTTCATTCTCTTTTGAGAGAGGGAAGAGGGTATCAGAAATAATGATTCAAACTTCTGAAGATTAAAGCATCAAGCATCATAATTGCTTTACTAGTGTATATCACAAAGGTTGTATGTAATGTGCATTGTGTTTGGAATATAGTATGAGATCAACAAACTATAGCGTTAGTATTAATGGTAAAATTAGCATTAGCACTATTTTTAGTATTATGCTGCTCCTGTTGCTACTGATCAGAAGCAGTCTCACATACTAGAAGTAATGTTGGATTAGAAATCACAAAGCCTATGTTCTGATCTGGATTCTGCTCTTAATGACATTCGGCAAGACCCATCTTTTCTCTGAGCCTCTATTTATCCATCTGTAAAATGGAGAAGGTAGAAGAGATGACCTCCAAAGTGTTGTGTTTATACTGAACTGCTACCAGGAAGACATGTCTGTAAACAGCTTTGCCAACAGAAGGGAAGGTTTTTATACTCTGCCTCATGGAGTCAAGTGGGTAAGTAAGAGCATTCATTTGTAAGACAGCCAGCCTTGATGCACATCTAGAACAATCACTTGATTGTTCTGCGGTGGCCCAGATTCAAATGTCAGCTGTTGAAGGGAGAAGAGAGCAGTAGGACCAGGGCAATTAATAGCTAACTTTTGCAGTTCGCAGTTCCTTCCTCCTTTGATTTATTAAATTATTTGATAGCTAGAGTTAAGAATAAAGATAGCCTAACATATGATTTTTTTTACTTCCCTTAACAAAACATATAATTCCAGTACAGTAAAAGTCATAAGTGATTTAAAAAAGAAATGCAAAAGCAGGACCCAGAAGGGAAGCTAGCCTCAGTGGAGTGACTACTTCGTTCTAGGTACTCTCATGGGTCCATGACACTATCATATTAATCTTATCAATAACTTTGTCTTGGTCTGTGTTACTGTGCCCATTGGAAGAAATGGCACACATTAGGACTGAGATTCACTAGTCTTTTTCTTTTCCATAATACCACATTGTCCCTTGAACTTAACACGGTGCTACAGGAGAGAAGTAATTGGAAGTAGATAGTGTTCCTGCCTGCATGAAATTATCACTGTGGTAAAGATTTTTCCTTGCCTAGTAAAATATGATTTTGCAGTAGTGCATATTTTGTGTTTCTTCCTGGAGTAGTGGGGAAAGAGCTGTTGCCTCTGCCTTCCTGCTAGTTGCTATTTTTCTGGCTGGTCCTTGTCCTCCTCACTGAGACATTGTTTTTACTATCTGAAACTTTCATCATTTAAGTGATGGGTCAGTGACATAGCATAGCATACTCTTTGATTTTCTGATTCAAGATAGAGTTGTAGTTTTAATTTTCAATATCAACCCTCCAGGCAGGCTATTTGAAAGATGTTTACAGTTGATAGGAAGTTTCATTTTATTGGAAGATACCTCATTTACTTGAAAGTCATTGGGGTCTGAGTTTCTTATAAAAGGAGAAAGTATTCTATAGGGTATTCAAAGAAAATGAGCAAGTTCATGTTTGGATGAATGTACTATATAAGCTCAACTTTATCCTCTGTTTTGCCTATTTCATATATAGGTGTGTGTGTGTATTTCATACATATGCATATTTCATATGTATTTTATATGTACATATTTCATATGTACATATTTCATATTCATACACTTAAAAAATTCTTATAATAACTAATTAAGTATTTTGGTATTAAATATGTTACTTATTTGGAGAATATCATAGCTCCATAGATTGCAGTGGATATTGAAAAATACCCTGTAGAAATACAAATCAAAACCACAATGAGATACCACCTCACACCAGTGAGAATGGGGAAAATTAACAAGGCAGGAAACAACAAATGTTGGAGAGGATGTGGAGAAAAGGGAACCCTCTTACACTGTTGGTGGGAATGTGAACTGGTGCAGCCACTCTGGAAAACTGTGTAGAGGTTCCTCAAAGAATTAAAAATAGACCTGCCCTACGACCCAGCAATTGCACTGTTAGGGATTTACCCCGAAGATTCAGATGCAATGAAACGCCGGGGCACCTGCACCCCGATGTTTCTAGCAGCCATGTCCACAATAGCCAAACTGTGGAAGGAGCCTCGGTGCCCATCGAAAGATGAATGGATAAAGAAGCTGTGGTTTATGTATACAATGGAATATTACTCAGCCATTAGAAACGACAAATACCCACCATTTGCTTCAACGTGGATGGAACTGGAGGGTATTATGCTGAGTGAAGTAAGTCAATCGGAGAAGGACAAACAGTGTATGTTCTCACTCATTTGGGGAATATGAATAATAGTGAAGGGGAATGTAAGGGAAGGGAGAAGAAATGTGTGGGAGATATCAGAAAGGGACACAGAACATAAAGACTTCTAACTCTGGGAAATGAACTAGGGGTGGTGGAAGGGGAGGAGGGCGGGGGGTGGGGGTGAATGGGTGACGGGCACGGAGGGGGACACTTGACGGGATGAGCACTGGGTGTTATTCTGTATGTTGGTAAATTGAACACCAATAAAAATTAATTTATAAAAAAAAAAGAAAAAAAAAGAAAAATACCCTGTAGATAGCCCTTGTAGTCAGGAAGCAGAAACTTCTTTAATCCCTGTGTATGGGGCAGCCTGGGTGGCTCAGCGGTTTAAGCGCCTGCCTTTGGAGAGCGCTGATCCTGGAGTTCTGGGATCGAGTCCCGCCTCGTGATCCCTGCATGGAGCTTGCTTCTCCCTCTGCCTGTGTCTCTGCCTCTCTCTCTCTTTCTCTGTCTATCATGAATAAATAAATAAATAAAATCTTTAAAAAAATCCCTGTGTAACTGTTCCTTCATAATTCAGTTATCTTCTAGTTGAATTCATCATTTCCTTTATGCCAAAATATTCCAAATTTTAATGAAGCAATTAAAGTGGTGGTAATAGGGCAGCCTGGGTGGCGCAGCGGTTTGGCGCCTGCCTTTGGCCCAGGGCGTGATCCTGGAGACCCGGGATCGAGTCCCACGTCGGGCTCCCTGCATGGAGCCTGCTTCTCCCTCTGCCTGTGTCTCTGCCTCTCTCTCTTCTCTGTGTGTCTCTCATGAATAAATAAATAAAATCTTTAAAAAAATAAAGTAGTGGTAATAAAGAAAAGCTTACTATTAATGATGTCAACCACAATGTGGCAGAATCAGATTTAATGTAGTTATAATGTAGTTACCTTAAATGAGAAATAAAATAGATGAACACAGAAAATAAATTTTGTGCAGTTCAGCACATACCTACAATGTACCATAAATTGTGACCTCTGCTCATAAGAAATGTGGCAGCAAACGGAGGAGACAGGCAGATACCTAAATAAATTAGTCTTACTTAATAGGCAAGTACTAAGATATGAGGATGCCAGGATGCCATGAAAGAGGCTTCAGTCTGACCTAAAAATAAGTAAGGCTTCCTAAGGTTTGATGACTTTTTTCCTTCCCTACTACTATAGCTGTAGTCCACATCATCATTTCTTACTGGGTGTCTGCGATTGCTTCCTAACTGGTTTGCTTGCTTCCACTCTGGTCCCCCTACACAAAGCCAAGACTAACTTTTTGGTTTGTTTTTTGCCTTTACATGTATATATTTAAGATAATTCATATCTTGTGCCACCCCCAATTAAAACTCAGTTAAATGAATAAATAAAACCTTGAGTTAAACATCAGTGGTTTCCTATAGATTTGAGAGTAAAATCCCACCTCCCTTCTATGGCAAACAAGCCCATGGTAGATCTGGCTCCTAGATTCTTCTCCATTTCATGTCCTACCATTTTCCTCACAGTCACTTCCCTTGCCACCCTGACCTTTTTTTCTATGCCTCACCCATAGCCAGCTTGTTCCTGTGCCTCTAGGTTTCATTCTAAGTCTTCATTTGACCTTTGCCAGTCTCAGCTCAAGTTTTATCTCCTAGAAATACCTTCATTGACCAGCTTCTCTCCTCCCCAGGCTTTATCTCCCCTTAGCTTCTCTTATGCTTTTCTTTTATTGTTGTCTGAATTTGTTATTTCTTTGTTTTCTGTCTCCCTATTCCAGAATGTTGGTTCCATGAGAGCACATAGCAACTGCTTAATATATATTGGTTGAATAAATGGCTGAATAAAATTTTCTGAGCTGAGTTGGGATGGATGAGTAAGACTTAGCCATTCTAAGAACAGTGGAAAAGTAGAGAATAGAATCGGCAAAGTTACAGAAGCATACGTTTGCATGAGATGTGCAGGGAAATTGTTGCTAAACAGTAGAGTGCCAGCAGAGAGTATGTGACTCACTATGTGAGGTAGATGTGGTTGGGGTACCTGGGTGGCTCAGTGGTTGAGCATCTGCCTTTGGCTCAGGTCATGATCCTGGGATTCTGGAATGGAGTCTCACATCAGGCTCCCCACAGGGAGCCTGCTTCTCCTTCTGCCTATGTCTCTGCCTCTCTCTGTGTCTCTCATGAATAAATAAATAAAATCTTTAAAAAAAAAAAACAGGTAGATGCGGTTGGTAATAAAAGCAGGAATTAGCTCACGGAGGTCTTTATATGCCATGACCTTGAACTGTATGGTTTAAAGAAAGGAAAACTGTCAGATTTTGATTTAGATCAGTGTTTCTCAAATATTTTTAATCAAGAGACACAAGAAATACATTTTATATTTTCTGTAAACTAAGAACCACCCTTAGATTCTAGAGGCTGCTACATTCGTTGGCTCATGGCCCCCTTCCTCCATTTTCAAAGCCAGCAGTGGCAGATCTAGTCCTTCTCATATCACAGCTCTCTGAGGGACCTTTTTGCCTCCCTTATCCACTTTTAAGGACTCACTTGATTAGACTGGGCCCATTTAGAGAATATGGGATAACTTCCCCATCTCAGATCCTTAGCTGTAATGGCATCTCCAAGATCCCTTTGTCATGTAATGTAATATATTCACAGGTTCTAGGGATTAGGGCATGGACATCTTTGGTGGGCCACTATTCTGCCTACCATGGGGATGTTCTTGTTGTTGTTGTTGTTGTTTTAAGATTTTATTTATTTATTCATGAGATATACATACACAGAGAAGCAGAGACAGGCAGAGGGAGAAGTAGGCTTCATGCAGGAAGCCCGGTGTGGGACTTGATCCCAGGAGTCTGGGATCAACCCTGAGCCAAAGGCAGACGCCCAACCACTGGGCAACCCAGGCATCCCAGCCATGTGGTTGTTTATAGGGAGTTTTTTATAGCTCATATTCCTTCCTCCTTCCTCCCTTTTTTTCCCTTTCTTTTAATGAACACTTATTAAGTACTCTTTCCTAGTGCTGGCATACAGCAGTGAGCAAGATAGCCAGTGTTCCTACTTTCATGGTGGCTTAAATTCTAGCCCAAAGATAGAGGACAAACAAGTAGTCAAGTAAATAAACACAGTAATTACATCTGTTCCATGAGGGCAATACATAAGGTGATGAGTAGAAAGTAGCTGGGCAAGACCACTTTGGCTAGGTGGTCAGGGAGGGGCTCTCTGAGGAAGTGACACATGATCTGAGGTCTGATGTGTGTAAGTCAGCCAGCTGCTAAGAAACAGAGGAAGAGGATTCTAGCAGAGGAAATGGAAAGTGCAGAGTCTCAGAGCAGCAAAAGATATGTCTTATTCAAGGAACAGTCTGAAAGCCAGTGCAAATGGAGCAGAGTAAGCAAGGCAGAAAAAGTAGAGCAAATGATGGTGGCAAGACAGGAGAAGTGAGGCCATGCAGTGCCTGAGAGATCATGTGCGGTAAGGATTTTGGATCTAACAACAATGGACATATTGAAGAACTTTAAATAGTGATGGTATGAAACAGGTAATGTTATCTGATTTATACTTCTAAAAGATAGTCACTATGTGAAAATGACTTAGAAAGGGGTAAGGATGGTTTGGAGAGACAGACTGAGGGGCTCCTGTAGCCGTCTCGGGAAGAGATGACAGTCTTTTGAACTAGAGTGAGCATAGTAGGAATGGGGAGAAGCAGATCGATCTGTGATATATTTTGGAGACAAAATTGATGGGACTTAGTGATGGTTTTGTTGTAGGGGATAAGAAAGAGGATGGAATCAAAGATGACTTGTAGGTTTTTTTTTTTTTTGACTTGTAGGTTTTTGAGCAACCTCAGTTAATTGCTGAAATTAAAAAAAACTAGGGTAAGAATCAATAAGGGGAAGGGAGACCAAGAGTTCCAACAGAACATGTGAATATTGAGCACTCTATCAGAAGCCCAACATGTAATGCGAGGGGACAGGTTGGAGCACAGAGAGATGTCTGAGTTGAAGATATGCACCTGGGAGTCATTAGCATACAAATAATTTCTAAAGCCAGGTGACCAGATGAGATCCTCTGGGGAGAGAGTAGAAATTAAAAAAAAAATAGTATCTTGAGTGAGCGGACATCCTTCCAGAGTAGAAAGTTAGGAGGAGAAGGAGGAGCAACCAGCAAAGACTATTGAAAAGGTGCTAAATTTTTTGGAGCTTTCCTGAATAATGACTAGGCTAGAGGGAGAAGAGTCAAAGAAGCAAGTGGGCACATTTCTGTATATCCACTAGAGTAGTACTATTGTACCTCTAGCACTTACCATTGTACCTGGCGCAGGAAAGGTGGCCTATTGAATGAATAAGTGAGTTTGAGAATGGCAGTATGCTCTGGCATATCTCTAGGTATGAGAGTAAGAGGTGAACATTTGCATTGTCTGGTTCCCAGTAGCCTAACATCACAGAACTTTCCAGCCTACTTTATGGATTTTTGGCCCACCTTTAATAGAATCTAGACAATTTCCTAATATGTAGTAGAGCCATTCTTTAGGTTTAAATTTGAAAACAATCAGAAATCACGAAATTGCATTTTCTGAAGTATTCAAGATAGAAATACTTAATAAAATGAATAAGTAATGAATAAAGAAGCAAATAAACAAGTAAAATTGAACTTCTAGAAGATTCCAGCAACTCAATTTCTTATGACCAAAGAGATCAATCTTTTACTAAGTTCTAGGAGAGAGTTATGAGCCACTTTTTTGAAGAAAAAAAAAGGCTTTATTGATTTATTTGGCAGAGAGAGTCAGAGGGTGCAAGCAGGGAGAATAGCAGAGGGAGAAGGAGAAGTTGCCTCCCCACTGAACAGGAGGCCTGACTCAGGGGCTCCATCTCAGGATCCTGGAATCATGACCTGAGCCAAAGGCAGATGCTTAACCAACTGAGCCACCCAGGCGCCCCATGGACTGCTGTTTAATATCCTGTTACTTCTAGAACCACGCAAATAGATCAGAAATTCTCCTTACTCTTGAGACTCAACACTTACGCTTGAGTATGATAATGTAGCCCTGTCTAGAAGAAAAAAATTTTGTTTGCAACTGAGACTCAGAGGGTTAAGTAACTTGCCCACAGTTCAAAGTTCTTTTTTATTTTTATTATTTTATTTTATTTTTTTAGGGATGGGGCAGAGGGAGAGGAAGAGAGAGAATCTTAAGCAGGCTCCACACCCAACACGGGGCTCAGTCTCATAACCCTGAGATCATGACCTGAGCCAAAATCCAGAGGCAGATGCTCAACCTTAAAGGCCTGAGCCACTCAGGCACCCCACAGTCTCAAAGTTCTTAAACCCAGTTCTAAAGGACACCAAAGGCCATGTCTCTTCTCTCACCCTTTGCTGACTCCAAGAAGCTTAAGTGAATGGGGGTTAGAACTGGCTAAGATTTTTAATTTACTAGTTTTAAAGGTATACTTCATTAAAAAAAAATCTTAACAATATAGAGAAATTAAAGGGGCATTTTAAGCCCTTCTGGATGATGTTGGTTCTGGCATTTTCTGAACATATTTAACATGGATGAATTTGTCTTCTTTTACAAGGAAAATACAGAGGTATATTCCAGAGTTGACTGTTCATGGCACATACAGTTGGAGGATGCTCATTGGCACTTATTTTTATCATTGTGTTACTGTTGGTTAAAGCAAATATAGGTAAGATATTTCTATAATTGAATCTATAGAAGGATTTGTGGTTTAAATTATCAGTTACGGATGAAATAATGTATTTGTGGGAATCGTTCTGGTAGTCTTTTGTAGTCAATCTTCTCTCATTTTAAATGGGTAAGTCTGGTTCCATTATCTATAACTACAATGCATTTTATTTAATTTATGCTGATTAATGTACAAGTCCAACCATGTAATTTCTCTTTAAAAAGTGGCTAGGTAACCACAAAACTGGAATTATGAATGAATGTTTTACTAAAATGAAAAATGATAGTGCTTTTTAACAGAGGATATGGTGGGTGAATCCAACTATGCTAAAAATAATAATGGCTGACATTTTCCTTGCCTTTTCTTTATGGGAGCTTACTTTTTTACTTTCTAACTCATTACAATCAGCAAAAATCAAAGAAGCAAGGAAAAAACATAGAATAGAATGGGAGAGGAGAAAAAGAGTGAGGGAGAGGGGCTTAGTTTTAGTTCTGGAAATAAAAAAGAATTTTTTATTAAAAATGAATTTTTAGCATTTCCTTTATTTGATTTAAATAACTTTTTAACTAATTCCTGTTTAGGGTAGTTAATTAAAGCAATCTTGTAATTACAAAAAAAAAAAGACGTTCAGTGGAGGCTTTCTATCACATCTGAAAACTCAGGGCAAATCTATAGTTCTGAGATTCTTTCATTGGCAGTACCACCAAAACCTGTTCATTTCTGAATAGTTGTCATATTTATTTATATAAAAACTCCTAGAGAGTAAGAGTGACCTCTCTTTTAATGAGTTTAATATGGTATGATATCTGGCAATAAATAAATAAATAAATAAATAAATAAATAAATAAATAAATCTCTTTTAAAAAGAAGGATACATTCATGTAATGTCATATTAGCTATATTGGGTTATGGTTCATCTAGCCCAGGGTCTTGCATCTTGAAGGAATACCAAAGTCTGGCATGAAGGACCTCATTTTCATCCTTGATGCCAACCACAAATATACCAGAGCTACTGAATATTTTCTTTTGTTATAAAATAATGTTATAGATCATACATACTTTATACCACTAATATAGCAAGAGAAAGTATTATTCCTAAATCGACCCCTAGGAGTATGTAATAACCTTTTAAACTGTTGTTTGTTTTGTATGTTTCCTTTTTGGTCCGTGTATTGAAATAAGCCTTATAAATCAGAAATGGGGATGGAAGCAAATATGATTAATGTGGGAAGTACTTTTCAATAATTTGGTGAATAATTTGCATATAAGAGAGATTGGTTTTCTCCTGGTCCTCTGTTCCTGAATGTCTTCCAACCCTATTTTCTCAGCACTTTTAGTCTTACTGATTTGAGAACGATGCATCTTTTAATTAAAATACAGTTAGACTTTAATGTGTGTGCCTTCTGTTCTCATTGTGCATCACCAATACAGCCAGAGCAATGTGGGTTATTTATTTTTCCACAATTTTTTGGGATTAATTTTATCCTGCTCTTGATAATAACACAAACCCACCATTTTGAAATGGGTTTCTTATGTGCTGACTTGTGTCTTATTGCAGATGCATGCAAGAGAGGAGATGTGACTGTGGAGCCTTCTCATGTAATTTCACTTGGATCAGCTGTCAATATTTCATGCTCTTTGAAGCCCGAACAAGGCTGCTCACAATATCCCAGTTTTAACATGTTAATCCTCTACAAATTTAACAGAAGAATCAATTTTCTGCATGGTCACTTCCTCAGTTCTCAAGTCACAGGTCTTCCTCTGGGCACAACAGTGTTTCTCTGCAAATTGGCCTGTAGCAAAAACAAGGAATTACGAATATGTGGGGCAGAGATCTCAGTTGGTGGTGAGCATTCCATTCTGAACTTTTTAACAACTAGTCATCTTTTGGTATTTGTCATGTGTTAGACAGAAGTCCAAATATAGGGTAGTGTTCTTTCTTCTCCTGCCACATGAATATATTTTATCTTAATAGCAATATGAGTACCTCAATGTGAGAAATCCAGAAATCAGTAGAATTGGGATCTCATTTAGAAGTGTTCTCTCTCTCTGCCCTGCCCCCCACCAGTTGTTTTTGTTTGTGTGTGTGTGCGCGCGCGCGCGCCCATTAAGAGCAAGAACCTATTGTGCTTAGACTCCAGTGGCAGGAAGGAGAATCTCTGGAGCTGAATCTTCATGCCTTCTAGATTTGTGAGAATTTGTTCAAAGCTACAATCTCCTAAAAAGAAGAAGGAGATACATTTTTTTGACTTATGAAGCTCAGGTTGGACTTCATACAAGGCTGAGCACTTCTTTCCCTAATTTAATCCTTACATCCACATTCACTCCTGACCACTGGTTATCATACTTAGCAGAAATTAAAAAAGAACTCTTGGCACACTGTCTTTTCCTGAGTTTTCTAGAAAGCTCTATGAGGCAGAACTGATATGCTCATGCCATCAACAGAAAATGTAGCTGGTTGCTTGGTTGCTAGGGACATTCCCAGAATAAAAACATATGGGAATACAATGACATGGAAAGAAGATTTCAACTATCATTGGTCAAAGTACACCCATAAGGGATCCACTCTCCTCCATGCCGGCTTACACTGCTGGTCTTTCCAGGCAGCTGCTGGAAGTAAGAATTAAGACATCAGAGTCGATATCTATGGCATGAACCACAGTGCCCAGAGTGAGCCAGCAGTCCACCTGCCTAAAGCTTGTAGCCAGCAGCCTAAATCTGTAGACTTGAAGGCCCAGCCAGGCAAGCCAGTGAGCATGCAGGGGCTCTGACTCATCCCAGGACACTCTGTGCCCCCATGGTTCCAGAGAACCTCTAGAGTGGGGAGAGTAGGAGGAATTGCTACAGCAGGCTGACTGACCAAGATGTCAGGATTGTCAGAGCCCCTGACATGAAGACACTGATACAGAGCTCAATGAGACTCTTTTCAGGAAAGTTGGAAACCACTTTTCTGTAACCTATAAGAATATGGTTGGTGCTGAGCAATCTTGCTGGAGAGCCACCAGAAGCACTGAGCAGAACACCAAACAAACAGCCAAAGAATCAGTGGAGGTTAACGAGACAGAAACCAGGTCCAGGCCTCCTCTCCCAGTTGTAGCCTCTTATTTATACCACTTATGGATCATGTACTCTCAGCTCTGCCTGCCAGGGATGTCCTAAAAGGAATGTGGACTTTGAAGCCCAGCCCTGTGACCTAACAGTGTACTGTTAGGCAGTTTCAATTCTCTGAGCCCCAGTTTCTTTCTCTGTGTTATGAAGATACTAACATCTACTTCATAAGATGGTTGTAGTGATTAGATGACACCTGGTATGCATAGTACTTAATCTCATACCAAACACGAAGAAGGAGCTGAGGTGATAAGCTCTAAGGTGGAAGTTTCATCCAGCTTGACTCTTCTTCCTGTGTGCATCATGTTAGGTAGGTGAGTCCATTTCCCTTAAAAGAAACTACAAGAAAGTGATAAACAAATGAAAATTTATCTAAAAAGCACCATTGGTCCACACCTCTTTTGTCCTCAGAACACCTGAATGTTATACCCACGTAATTTACCATCTTAGTAGATAAATATTATGTATTTTTATTAGATATTCCCAGTCCTGTGATGTCCAGTTGCAGGTGTTCACGGTTCTGCTGATGTTTTCTACACATTAGGCCTTGGAAGTCAGTATCCTTGCACATGCCCTTAGCCGTCCCATTCTATTTCCTACCTTTTCTCAGGTGTGTTAGAGTGCTGCAACCCCTTTTCACTTTTAAGGTTTTCCACCCAGTGGGGCACCTGAATGGCTCAATTGGTTAAGCGTTAACTCTTGATATAGGCTCAGGTTTTAATCTCAGGGTCATGAGTTCAAGCCCCACGTTGGGCTCTGCATTGGATGTGCAGCCTACTTAAATTTTTTTTTTCATCTAGAGTATGCAGATGCATTCGTGACAATTTGCAGCATCAGAAGACCTAGGGAGATGGTTAAGAGGATCTGTTATGGTGCAGCTCAGTTCACCATATGGTTCAGTTGGGTGGTACTGCTGGAATGTTGCTTATACAGTGTTCTCAAATGGTAACCACACCATCAAATGGCTGCTTTTTGAGCAAGTTTAGCACTTTGAGGTGAAGGACTGACTGGAAGCAACACTTATTTCTGATAATGGCTAGTCATTCCAAGAAAAGACACAATGAATTTTGGTTTCACCTAGTATAGTAAGCTTATTCCTATCTAGTGAGGGAGTAAACAGCCCCTCTTCCTTTTTGTGATAAGTGATGTCCATAAGTGCCATTGTATATCCTGAGAATGCTATCATAAAGCTGGCTGGTTTTTCAGAACTGGAAATGGGTAATTTAGCCTTTTCTCCCCAGCACCTTCCTAGGCTTGGGCTGCTCTGCCACCAAGACCTCATTTAAAGTTGTGTAGTAACTAAGCAATCAGTGCTCTAGCTTAAGCTCACAGGATTGGTCCACAAACTACTAAGAAAATCAAGGCAATAAATGAAAGACAGTGGATCCTTGCTTGGTTGTTTTCAATATATGCTTGATTGCTGGTATTTCTGAAAGTTGTTTTTCTAAGACAATTTAATTTCCCATAGTAAGTAGGGCTTTTAAAAACAATAGCAGCCATGGGGCACCTGGGTGGCTCAGTCATTTGGGCATCCAGATCTTGATTTTGGCTCAGGTCATGATCTTGGGGTCATGGGATTGAGCCCCACATCGGGCTCCACGTGGAGCCTGCTTGGGAGTCTCTCTCCCTCTTCCTTTGTCCCTCTCCTCATTGTGCTCTCTAAAACACCCCAAAATATTAACAATCATAATACTTATAACAGTTTATTATATCGCAAGCTATTTTAACTTTCAGAGTCTTTGATTTCTATCCTTTTTTTTTGGTGTCAGTTATTATATACTTATATTGAAGAGAATGAAGTTTGGTTTCCCCTGGGACAGGTTGTCTCTGCCAAAAACAAGTCCTGAATTGAAGTAGACACCTTGATTTCATGGTATGGGGACCTCATGTTGGGAAAGTTGACTTGATTTTTGTTTTTTTTTTTTTTTAAATTTTTTTTATTTATTTATGATAGTCACAGAGAGAGAGAGGCAGAGACACAGGCAGAGGGAGAAGCAGGCTCCATGCACCGGGAGCCCGACATGGGATTCGATCCCGGGTCTCCAGGATCACGCCCTGGGCCAAAGGCAGGCGCCAAACCGCTGCGACACCCAGGGATCCCTGACTTGATTTTTGAATAAAAGCTGTGCTCTTTTAAGATTTTATGTATTTATTCATGAGACACAGAGAGAGGCAGAAACATAGGCAGAGGGAGAAGCAGGCTCCCTGTGGAGAGCCTGTTACAGGACTCAATCCCAGGACCCCAGGATCACAACCTGAGTCAAAGGCAGACTCATCCACTGAGCCATCCAGGTGCCTCTGTACTCTTTAAAATGAGAGTCTCTGCAAACTTTTAGGAGTAAAGGTATGAGTGAGAAATGTTTTCATTACTTAAAGGGGCCACATGCTCTATATCTCATTTGGTCATCAAAAGACCCTATGAAGGGTTAAGGTAATGATGGTGGTTTGAAAACATGTATTTACATTGATCCCCCATGAAATTAATCTGTCAAGATTGAAATCTGTCAAGATGCAGTAAAGAAAGTTTTCTAGAGGTATAAATCCTAAAGGACAAAAGGAATTGGAGGGGAGACATATCAACAAACTTTTGGAAGCTAGAAAGTAGGTAGACCAGTGATAATTGGCTCAGGCAGCAGCTGGCAGTGAGAAACATCATGATGCAACATGATTGAATGTAGAACCTCCCAACCCAGAATGACTCAGAAATTGGTGATAACATGTCCTTCTGGGAGTGAGGGTAAGAATGGGACTAAAAATGAGCTATTTTAATTGAAAATAATTTGAAAAACATATTCTCAGATCTCTTTCCCAATTCCATGTAGCTAAACATTGATTCTCCACTACTTTGGCATAAGACTGGAGGCTTAGCATTAAAGGATCACTAAACTATTTCCAACCAGTTCGGCTGAGATTGGTAGTACCATGCTGGAAAACAGGGATTAAAGGAACATTGACGTTCAGCTCCCTTCAGTCCTGTACCCTCCTCTACTCAAGTTAGAACATCCTTTTCTGGGAAATCTCAGCTGAACTGAGAAAGAATAGTGGGAACAAAGAAAAGATTCTACAATCTTCTAAAAATTAAAAACAATGGTTCAAGAATCAGAACAGTGGGCAGCCCCAGTGGCGCAGCGGTTTAGTGCTGCCTGCAGCCCAGGGCGTGATCCTGGAGACCCTGGATCAAGTCCCACGTCAGGCTCTCTGTATGATGCCTGCTTCTCCCTCTGCCTGTGTCTCTGCCTCTCTCTCTCTCTCTCTCTCTCTCTGTCTCTATGAATAAATAAATAAATAAAAATCTTAAAAAAAAAGAATCAGAACAGCATCAGGTTTTTCAATAACACCCTAGAATGTAGAAGACAACAGAGCCTCCAAAATCCTGGATGAAAATTCTTTTCAATTCAGAATTCAATACTCAGCCAAAGTAGCAGTCACGTGTGAGGGTAGAATAAAGACATTTTTAATTATGTTCAAAATATTTCTTCCCCATACCTGTTTCCAGGGAACTACTGGAGGATATGCCCCACCAACACAAATAATTAAATCAGGGGAGAAGAAAGAATTGGATTTAAGAAACAAGAAATCTAACACTGGAAAGTGAAGGAATTTCCATAATATTAAGGACTGGCAGTAACAGCTGTGTACCAGGCACAGGGGCAAACCTATCTTATTGGGCAGTTCCCAAGGCCCCAAGAAAGAGGTCTCAGGAAAATGAAATAGCATTTTAATATGTTGAACAGTGATTCAGATAACTGGCTTGAGAGTTTGGAATTATATTAGTAACAAGAAAACTCATAGAAAAACCAGACAGTTTTGTGTTGGCTCTGAGATAAACAAAAAGTACAGAAAGTAAGAAGTTAATGTAGTAGTCTAAGTGGATCAGTCATAGGTAGTTATGTATACAGATATTATACAGTGTATATATAAATTTAACTAAGCTCAAAATATTTCCTTCTCTGTACCCTTTCCTGGGGAACTGTATACAGTGTATACAGAGTATGTATGTGTGTGTATATATGTGTGTGTGTGTGTGTATATTTCATATGTATTTCAATATAAGATAAACATATTTCATATGTATGTGAAAAATTCTGTTCTTTCAGAAAGTGAAAATTTATTATTCCACTAAACAAAACCATATGAGCTACATATTATCATATGCACTTTATAGATGAGGAAACTGAACCTGTGAAAAGTTAACCTGCCCACTACCACAGAGTGGGCAATTGTGTCCAGGTTTGTGATGTTGGCTAAGGACCAAAAAAAAAAAGTCATTTGTTCCATCAATTACAGCTTTTTTTTTCTTTCTTTTTTTTTTTTTTTTTTTGGTGTAGACAACATCTGGGGCTTTAGTAGCATACTTATTTAATCTCACCCAAAGGAAGCATCTCTTACATGTGAGTCTCAGTATTAGAGTAGAATGAGATGAATGAATAACAGAATATTTTCTCTTACCTCCATGTAATCTGAGAAACTCATAGCTTTGGGTTTACCTTTGACTATAAAATTGCTTAATTTACAAATATACACTTTTGGTAAAGGGACCTTGCCTGCCTTGTCCACCTTTGTATATACATGGTTAGCACTATGCCCAGCCCATGGGAGGTACTCAGTGTCCATGTACATAAAGAATTAGTTCATAAATGTTTATGAAGTGTTCCAAGTGATGCTGCAGAAATTAGATTTTTCTGGTACAGCCTAGAAGGACATGCTTAGGGCTAGTGGGTGGAATTGGCTGTAAATATCAGGCCTATGGAAAGAAAGAGACCCTAATCTTTAGAGATATCTAATATTTGAATGGACTTTAAATCAGTAAGCTCATCATCACCAGTGGTAATAGATCTAGCACTGGATGTTCAGTTGTCAGGGACAATGGTGGAATGTGGTAGTAAAAGGCTTGGACTCAAGTCAGCCATGCCTGGGCAGGAGCTCTGACTCTGTCACTTCACAGTTTTGTAATTGGGGACAAGATACTGAACCTCTAAGTCTTAGTTTTCTCTTTGGTAGATTGAGGATAATAGTGATGGAGCTGCTCCAATGTCTAATTGAGAAAAACCTCATGTAACGCATAGGACTTGGCACGTAGTGTTTGATCCATATTCACTGTTGTTATTAGAAGATGTTCATGCCTTGGAAGCAAATTTGAACTTGACGGAATCTAGACGTAGGGGAAGTATTGTTATTGTATTGCCAAATAATAACAATGCAATTGTGATATCAACTGTGCTTTGCACTTTCTTTTTAAAGTTGTTCCAGAACAACCTCAAAACTTATCTTGTATACAGAAGGGAGCACATGGGACTGTGACCTGCATCTGGGACAGAGGACGAGACACCCATCTATATACTGCATATACTTTACAGTGAGTGAGAGATTGTATTTTTGCAGCTGTTTTGTAGGTGTTATCTTAGACTACACTTAGAAATATCTAATAGTTTTATTTTTACCAGAGAGAAGAAGCAATAGACACCTCTAGATAATTAGGTACTTAAAAAGAAAAAGTTCTATCATTTCATCTGAAGTGTGAACTGAGGTCTTGGGTCTGAGATCTAACTTGGAATTCTCTTCAGGGCATCCAAGGCCCATGATATGGATGTTCTTCCTTGCTCTAATAGAGTTAAACTGGCTGCATTATATCCCTTCTCTGTTTTGCAGTTGCAGACTCTTGGGGTCATAATATATAAATAGATTCATCCTTGTGGTAGCTTTCCATTAGCTTTGGAGGAGTTTCTTTTTAAAGCACCTTTGCCTAACCTGAAAGTCCACACAACGGAGAGTCTGGGAGAGCCTGTTCCCTGGAGTTGATCCCATAATCTCATCCAGAGATCCAGCTTGTTTTCACTATGCCTAAGTGAGCAGGAAATGAGGGAAAGGAAGTGGAGCCCAGGTTCCTGTCTGTACTAGAATCTGGCACTCTGTACAGAAAATGCCTCGATGGCCATGGGTCCTTTGGATAACAATTAAATCTGCCCTGAGGAGACAGGATGCTAGCCAGGGTTTTGGGAATTTAGGCAGTATATGTATGGCTACTTAGCTATATGAACATCAAAAAGGCTCAATCCTACCAAAAAAAGGTAGAGGGGGAAAAAAGGGAGAGAAGGGTGAAAATATGGTCCTATTTATGAACATATAATACAAATATTTCCATAGTGTATCCTCTAGTAATAAGACTGACCTTAACAAAATGTCTAGAATTTTAAATATTTGATTATTCTATTCTTCTGTAATAGAAGGAGCAAGTAGCTCATAAAGTATCATGCTAAACACAATTATCTTTTATTTACAGGTTAAATGGACCAAAAAATTTAACTTGGTGGAAGCAATGTAATGATCATTATTGTGACCATTTGGACCTTGGAGTCAACCTAACACCTGAATTGCCTGAATCCAGCTACACAGCCCAGGTTACTGCTATCAATAGCCTTGGAAGTGCTTCTTCACTCCCATCCACATTTACCTTCTTGGATATAGGTACATTTTATTTCACTTTTTGTAGGTGTCGTTCATTGGTACATGAACATTATCTTTAAAATCACTCGAATATTCTGTGTGTGATTGTTTCAAGAGGGACAGTGGCACAAAGAATAGATATTACTTTGATGCAAGGAAAAGGGTGCAAATCCTAGAGCTTTATAGAGATGATCATACAAAATGAAATAGTCAGCATTATTCTCCCTGTTGGAGAAAAAAGAACCCAGGCCCATGGAGGCGCTAGCTGCCAATGATACCATTCGACTGAGGAAAGTGTCCTGCAAGGTTATTCATGAAGTTCAGTGTAAGCACTTCTCAGCAGAGGCATCTTCTTACCTCTACAGTTAATGCCACTGCTCTGAGATAGGCTACATGTGGGCCTGCTGGGCCAGAGCAGAGGTGCCAACTATCAATAGGGTGTGTCAAGGTACAAATGGATCTTGCTTTGAGAATACCTACTTCCATTCCTCTCATCACCTTGGGAGCTGGAGTGAATCAGTTCTGGCACATTTCTGAGCAAATATAATTATCCCAGTTGAATCAGACACCAATCTCAAGCATCCTCAAGTTCTGAGCATCCCAGGTAGGATTGGGCTTCTGGCCTGCCTTAAGTTCTGGCCTTTCACTGTGTGTGTCTCTTCTTTCTTCCCACAACACCTCTTTGCACACATACTGCTATGAGTCTGGACATAGGCATTTACTATACCATCTCCTGTCATACTTCTCCCCAACTTCTGTTCCATTTCTCTACATTGACTATTCCTCCTAGAAAGAAGAATATTCCTCTTATTCTTTTCCTCTGCTCCTCTCTCCCTTCTGTATTTTTCCTGCTAGCATTTCTTCTCTGAGAGGTGATTCACTACTAGCCACCTCTGCCTTCTCAGCCATCAGAACTCTCAGGTTTGACACATTGGTTTTCTTTATACGTTGGATTAAGTGCAGTTGACACTATTACTAATGTTGGAAGTAATTTATTTGGTAAAAATGAGGGTAGGTTAAGGAGAATTATTTAAATTACTTAGTAGTAAATCAAACTTTTTCTTCTCTGTAAAAGCCAGGGGTTTCTCTTTTATATATTTCACCAACTTTGGTGGTCACATATCTTAGAAATGCATTTTGTTCAATTCTTTCTAGCTCATGTAAAAATAAATGTTATTTCTGATTGGGGAGCCTGAATCACACTTTTTTTGTTTGTCCTGATTACCAGTGAGGCCTCTCCCTCCATGGGACATCAGAATCAAATGTGTAAATGCTTCTGTGAACAAATGTATCCTTCAGTGGAGAGATGAGGGGCTGGTGCTGCTTAATCGACTCAGATATCGCCCCAACAGCAGCAAGTCCTGGAAAATGGTAATGGTTTTTAGAGTTAAGGGGAAAACTAGGGAGGGGCTCTTAATATCACTGCACAGATCTCTGTCTTTTGATGCCATCAATGTATGTGATTTAAGAATAGTTAGTCCAAAAGTACACACTTGAGATAGATCAGATAGACATATACACTTTTATTTATTAAGAAATATCTTGAATTTTGATCATTGATTCTGAAATTTTTTAAGCCACAGGCTTCTATAAACCTGAAATATTAATATTAATTAATATATTGTAATATTTAATATTAATATTGAAATATTAATTTTCTGCAACTTATTTCTAGTAAAGGATTCGTTTCACCTTGCTATGCTACCCCTCCCTCTGCATTACTTTTTAGTAGTTTTTTAACATATTAGAAAGAGGAATATTAGGGAATGTGCATAGAGGCTTATATGGAATTGAATATTCCAAAGATAAAGACCCACACTTTGATCTAATATTAGACATCAATTTTTTTACAATTAAATTTTAAGATTATAATTTCTGCTAGTATTTTTGTAAAACATAGTGGCTTATAATAGCAAAAAAATAAGTTTCACATATACCTGAAACTCAGGAGAATTATAGTAATTAATTTTTTAATACAATTAAAGTTTTCTTTTTGAGGCCAGTTCTATGTCTATGTTAAAACATTTACACATTGTAATTGTGACCAAATAAAAATAATCTCTAGAAAATTCTCCAAGGCTTTTCTGAAAATTGGTAATTCTTTTTTTGAACATTGGTATTTCTTAGCCTTTACTCATTTTTCAGCTTGTTTTAGGATCTCTCTTGGGGCCTTTAGAGATGAGTTCCTAGTCCCCAGAGTTTGTTTTTATTGAGAAGCTGATTCAGATAATGTCATGTGTTCAGTAACCCTGTCATTGATTTTTCTTCTCAATGAATGACAGATCTCAAAAAATAGAAAGGAATAAGTTATCTACTCAAGTTTCTTACCTATGTGTGTCAAAATCCTTTAATTTAATATTAATAGACCACCTTAAAAATTTTATCTGATTCAAGGTCCATGCTACAAATGCCAAAGGAAGATATGATTTACTGGATCTGAAACCATTTACAGAGTATGAATTTCAGATTTCCTCTAAGCTACACCTACATAAAGGTATTTGGAGTGATTGGAGTGAATCGTTGAGAACACAAACACCAGAAGAAGGTATGTGTTTTAAAGAGGAGAGTGAGAGGAGTGGAAGGAGAGGTAGGAGGGGGAGAGGAAGATATAGGGATTTCTTTGGATCAGGATCTCTAAAATACTGGTACTGAATCAACAAGTTCAGTACCAATAACTAACTAGTAAACGAGTGCATTGCTAACAAGTAAATGTACTCTTACTAACATTAGCATTAACTAACAAGTAAATGAGTACATTAATTAACAAACTAATTTTTACATTAGTTTAAGTACTGTAATTGTCCAGGATGAAGTGTTTATATTGCTAGGACATTTTTAACATTAGGTAAGTCCTACTCCTGCTTGCCACATGTTGTCGTGTTGGTTGCAAGTTGATGCTTCGGTAATGTTTGATTATAACTTTATTTCTATTTCACTTCCTATCTCAGGAACTCTCTCATTCCACAAAACCATAACCAGTAATTTTATTCCTTTATAGTTAAAACTTGATAAATTTTACCTTTTGGATTCTATGAAAATTAAAAGCTTGAAAGAAGGTAGACTCTGGAGATATAACATTTTAAATAAAATTTAACATCCAGCAATCATCTCTCCTCCAAATATTATGGCACTGCACTGCATCATGCCTTTGATACTTATTGCTCAAATGATGGTCACCAGACTGCCGATAGCTATGGAAAGGATGTCAAATATAGTTCTCAGTCTGATGGGCTTTTCTTTCTGACAATTATAGGGAAGACAACTTACTAAGGTATAACCAAACATTTTATTGGAGCAAAATTACCCATATGAACTCTGTGTCAATATTAGCAAATCTTTGGATACACAAGAAGTAGCCATCTGAATATTAATTTTTAAAAGCACTCATTTAGTGATATACTATAATGTTTCTTAATCTATAAATTTAGCTCAGAAGAAAAATTATTGTAGTATAATCCATTGTTTTATTATGTGACTATTTTGAAGTATTAATGTGAGAAAATCTAAATATTTATTTATAAAACTTACAGATATATATGCCTATTAGTCTCATAATAAGTTACATTCATTTTCTGTGAGCTGCTAATGGACTTTGCTGATGGTACACTTATCAGTGATACCCCAATGACTGACTTTCAAGGACCCAAGGGCCTATTAATAAGATATAATATCTAATATATGTTATAGAATAATTGTATATTCTTCCTTTCTTATATTAACTGCATTTCTTTATTTTTAAAAAATATTTTAAAATAAATCCATCCAATACATTATAATTTATTCCTTCTCATTTTATCATACAAATCTCTTAAACTAATGTTGAGCCACTTGCTCTCTGTTTCAATATTTGTCATTTTTTATAATCAAGAGCTTACTCTTTTTATTCTTTTATTATACATAGTCAAAGTAATGTATTTCTTTAAATACTTCATGGATTAGATTTTGTGTATATGTCTACAGATAAAATTTTTGAAAGTGGGCCATATTTTATGTCCAAGGCTAAGGTAGTACATAGGCTGAGAAGTTTTCAGGTTCTGTCACATGAGGCTTAAATCTATAAACCAGGGAAGCTCTGAGCTTGTGAATTCTTGTAATTCTTACTAACATTTAATAATGACCGGTTTGGAGATGTGTGAAAAAAGTTTTTTTTTTTTTTTAAGTGTCTATCTCTTGACTTAAAAAGACTTCAAGGTAGGACAATAACTTTCTCATAGCCCCTAAGATAAACCACTATCGTAACAATGAGTGCAGTACTAATTAGGGTTGTGAACTCATGGACAGTTATGAATTGAACCAAGGAACTGGCTCATTCAGAGTACTCACAGGCGTTTGTGAGGAAACCCATCCTCTGAGACACCACCTTTACCAAGCTCTGTGGGCTTCCTTTCAGTGTCTGCATCTCCCTTGTCTGTGTTTGATCTTTCTGTGGGTTGATGCAAGACCTCTTCCCTCTTACTTTGAGTGGCATGGTTTTTGCCCCTTACCGCTGTTTCTGTCATCAGTTTCTTTATGAAACACCAACTGATGTCAGCCAAAAAGGTGTGAATTTTTTTAGCACTTCTTCCTTTACAACTCTTGAATGCGTACTCATATGTAACTTGGCATTTAAAAAAAATTACTAGTAAGCTTTTTTTTTTAGGTTTTTTTTTTTTTTTTAGTTTTTAAAACTGTGAATGACCTTACAATAGAGCTCTTTGCAGCCTTTGCTGCTTAAAACTGAGAGCAATGTTATCTCCTGGTGGATTAGGCACAGTTATTTAGATCATGTCAGCAGAGAATGAGGGCTTTATTTACTCCATATGGCCCTTTCCTATGTCATTAGATTCAACTCCTGTCATGGTCCTCCATGAAAAACACTTTTTAAATGGCCACTAAGTATGGAGTAGGAAGGAACAAACTGCTTTCCTCTGTTTAGGAGGACAGCCCCTTCTTTGATATCTGTCAGAAGCAAGCCTGATACTGGGAACTGAGTAACCATATTGACTGTAGTGGAAAAACATTCTTGAGTTTGGGCTGCATGGCACCCAGACATGCCTGAGAATATGCCCAGGTGTTGGGGGGAGTTGATTCCCTCACCACTCAGAACACCCAGGAGGAGACTCCAAAATAAAGATGAACAAGCCATTTCTTAGAGCTGTAGTATGAATTAGGTGTTTCTGTCTGTTCATTCCCCATTTTTTAAAGTCTTATTTACATGTTTATGGACAATTTAATAAAAGAAATGCTACATCCTCAAATTTATGCTGGAGCAGTAAAAGAGTAGTCCTCCCCCATCACAGGTGATGGCATGGGTGATTGGTTAGAGACCCCCAAAGAGGATGCAGACCAGTTGTAGCCACCTCTTCTCACATTGAGAAACTAGGCAATTCATTCATTCATTCATTCATAATTCTGAAATATTGCTAAAATGGGTTAATTTAAATGAATAGAAAAACACTGACCCATGGTAAGCACTCAGTAAATTTAGTTGTTGTTTCTTCATTTGGAAAATGAAGTTCTGAGAGCTGAAGGAGCTTGTTCAAGGTTCTAGAACTAGTAAGCAGAGAAGCCAGTTTTGAATACTGGTCTGTCTGTTAATCACATAGCCCAAGCCCTTTGCTCTGCACCCCTCAGTTACCTGGCTCTGAGAAGGCCAATTAAATACTAGAGGTTATTTTACCATTTTAGTTAGCAAGTACTTCATAACAATCTAGCTCACGGGTCAGCAAACATTTTCTGTAAAGGTCCAGATAGTAAATATTTTCTGCTTTGCAGACCATATCTCTATCATAAGTACTAAAATTTCCTATTCTAGTGTGCAAGCAGCCATTGATAGTATATAAATACATAGACAAACTATGTTCCAATAAAACCTTATTTATGGACACTGAAATTTGAATTTTTTGTAATTTTCATATATCATGAAAAAATATTCTTTTATCTGTTTTCAGCCATTTAAAAATGTAAAAACCACTGTTAGTCTACAGGCTGTACCAAAACAGGGAGCAGATTTGGCCCTCAGGCCAGAATATGCTGACTCCTAAGCCAGCAAAACTTGAAAATATCATATTTGTGTCTTTCTGCCTAAGGCTTAAGAAAATGAGAATGAAAGATTCTTAGCCTTCAAAAGAGACTTACATGCAAACATTTTCATTAGAAGGAAAATGTTAGGTTTGAAATCCAATGACAGGCCCTGCTCTCCTTTCTTCTTTTGGTGCCCTCTAAGCCCAATCCTTATCCTGGAAGAAGTCAATGTCTGGGCTCAATTGTTTGATAAGATGGTGATTATCCCAATAGGAAGAAATGCTTTCCATGAAGCCTTCCAAACAAAAACAGATGAAAAAATATGCTCCTCTGGGTGATCTTAGAGGAAAGTGTGTATCAGGAACTATGCCAGGTGCTGGGATACAGTGAAAAACAATCAGATCCTCAGGCTCAGGGGCTTATCATCTATATTGAAACATTAGGGGAAGATTCCTGGAGGATACAATACCAAGAAGAAATTCAGAGTTTCAAGAGAATCTTGTGGCCTTCCCTTACCTGGAACATATGGCTTCCATGATCATTGCAGTAGAAGGGAGCTATTTCCTCCTTGAAGTACTAGATTCTTTTGAATTCTGTGAAATCTCATATTCCTGGATTTTATTCTGCTCTATTGGCCAGAATTGCTGGTAATTTTTCTCTTCTCAGTATCAGTCCTTATGGCTTTACCCAGGGCTTCCTTCTTTTCTGAGATGACCTTATCCAGAATTTGTGCTCCAGTATCCTGTTCCATATCTTCACCAAGATATCAATGGGCATTCTGAACCCCACATAGCCTAGACAAGAACTTTTTTTCTCCAAAACAAAATGTCTCTAAAATACTTCAGTTTCAATATTTTCTATTTCAGTAAACACTGTCACCATCTTCCTACTTACTGAAGTCAAAAATTGAGAAATTTTCCTTAAGTTCTCTTTTAAAAACCTTCTCTCCCCCCATTCCCCTATATCAGCACTTGACTCTCCTAAACATATTCAAAATCTGTTCATTCCTTCTGTTGCCACTATGATTATCCTAGTTTAAGCTACTTTCTACTTACAAAGGATAACAACAAAATGAACAGTTATGAACACACCATTCAACTTAAATACTATAAAATTACCAATATATTCTTACCCTTGTCATGCCTCCCCAGAGGTAACTATTATCCTGTACATTTATCAGTACTTTTCTCATAGCTTTCAGAAATGTATCTATCTTTAAACAATTATTGGTTTTGGTTGTTTTTGAGCTTAATTAAAATTATATACTGTATATGTAACTTGCTTTTTTCCCATCACCACTCTGGCACAATACCTCCATTAATTTTAGTATAGGCGAAACATTCCTGCTTCTGTTGAGAAACAACGTCTTCACTTGTGACCTGGATATTAAAAATGTTAAAAAGTTGGGTTGCCTGGATGGCTCAGTTGCTTCAGTGTCTGACACTTGATTTCCAGTCAGGTCATTATCTCAGGGTCATGAGATTGAGCCTCACATTAGGCTCCACATTAATCAGAGAGTCTGCTTGGTATTCTTTCCCTTTC